TCAGCAGGTTGAACTTCTTCAGCTGCTACAGGAAGTGCATCCTCTGCTCATTCTGTAGCTGCAGGTTGTCCCTTAAAGTCATTTTAGAAATTTAAATATTTACCTTTTTTTTGACAATCATCTGTTTCACTGTCTTTTACTGCTCCTCAGCTCATATCTGTGCTTATTTTTTGTAATTTATTTTTTTAAAGATATTTGTATGGGCATTTTTTGCCTTTAATTGATAGGATAGTGAAGTGTGAAAGAGGGAGAGACATGCAGCAAAGGGCCACAGGCTGGAGTCGAACCCGGGCCACTGCGGCAACAGCCTTGTACATGGGGCGCCTGCTCTACCACTAAGCCACCAACGCCCCCTGTGCTTATATTTTAACTCTTTGTCCAAAACTCCCAGCACTTAAACCTGATTCATTTTAGTGCCGTCTTCATTTCTTTTCTCACTTCCCTCTTTCAGAGTGCGAGTAACGTTCCTGCTCCTCCCGCTCCTCTTACAGTGCACGCTCCTTCAGCTGCTCCTCAGAATATTCATTCTCAGGTTTCTGACTCCAAACTCTCCTCAGATGATATTACAACGCTGCAGAACACGTGAAACTAACTGACTCCCGTCAGTCGAAAGGAAACTGACTCACTACAGTGATAGTTGTTTGTTTGTTTTTTCAAGCTTGTGGCTCAGTGGTTTTAGTGCAGTAACCCAACAATGCAAACATGCTGACTCCTCAAACGTCTTACAGTAGCTCTGTAAGTAAGGAAAGTGAGTACAATTTATTTATATGGTGCTTTTTACAGACAGATGTCACATAGTGCTTCCTAGAGGCATTATACACAAACAGTACTTAGTTAAGATTCTAATTTTCAGGGTGAACTAACGACAGATTTTTTCTTTTTTAAAAAACATTTATCACAATTTATTATGTTTTGGATCCAAATTTTTTTGTAGTTGGATTTTAATGAACTGGTTTTCCTCCGTCTCTTTAGCCTGTGTGTTGCGACCTTGAAAATCACCCAAGCTGCTAAAAATCACACACTTGAGATTTATCTTTTAATTCAGCAAAATAAATGAGTCAACTTTCACCTTCTGCTTAAACCCTCTCCTGCCTGCAGGCATCAAACCTCAGTTTGATTAGCTGGTAATGTAGAAACTGTGTCCTTGTCATCCTCCTGCAGAGACCTGTCCATGTCTCACCTTTCTGTGATCTTCATCTGACACTATGTGGTTTGTGCTGGACTGCAGCAGCCGCTCTGCTCTGGCTTAAACTTTCCAGAATTTAGTGTAGAAACATTTGTTACAGCTGATAAATAACTAGATTTACTTTGTTTTGAATTCCTGCAGCCACCAGCAGAGGCAGCACACCTCTTCCCGCCACCTCTGGCCTGCATCTGCACATCTGTACTTTTCAGCAGAAAACCTTTGCTGAGCACATTTCTCACTTTGTTTCCTGACATTAGTTTCTTGCACGTTTCTGTTTGCCAGTCAGTCAGCAGGTGTAGGGTGGAGCCGCTTCTCAGACCGTCGGTTAACGCTCACTCTCAACCGTCCTCCTGATATTACGTGGAACTAAAATGTCACGCACCCGGTGGTAAACGAGGACGAGCACGACCTGCGTGTGTGTGTTTGTGAGGTCAAGAGTGATAGACAGAAAAGGGCCCATCACTGTCTCCTTCTCACGCACACACACACACACACACACACACACACACACACACACCCTGATTGCATACATTAGCTGTCATAATTAGCCAGAAGCTGAAAGACACTGATAAATACTAAAATATTAAAAAATAATTACAAAGAAATAATATTAAAAAATATTTTAAACTCAAACCTAAACTGAAAGCATGATCAGTAATCTAAGATCAAAGAAGACGCAGCTGCATCGAGTGTTTTCATTTTAATTAAAAAAAAAAAAAATGTACAGCAGTTTCTGTTTTACAGCGAAGCAAAACATTTGTCACCTTCCGGCCCACTGGCTGCAAAATATTTATCTCGAAATCAGTCTGAAGGTGAGATAAAATTCTTATTTGTCTTTAAACAGGTGAGCTGTTTCTAAAGCTGGACTGGTTTCTAGTGAAGCCCAAGTAAAAATGTAAACAGATACAATCACACAAGACAGTTTTGTTTAAACGGGCTGATTCCTATCAGAGGTTCAACCACTCCACTTCAGCGGCACATTTTTCAATAAAAGAAGAGAATGAATGAAAAAACTGTGAAAGAATCAGCTGCTGCTGGAGATCGACATCTTAGGTGTTTCTGTAAAATTTATTACAAGAGGGAAACAGTCACTGTTTAGAGGAGTTAACATCTAAAGCTCAATAATATAACATATGAATAACTTGTTTGTATGCAGGGTGACTTCTGACCTCAGCTACTGACACTTTTTCATGTTAACTGCATCAGATACTGTGCAGGAAGCTGTAACCAACAATATCTGTACACCAGCTATTTAATGTCAATTCAGAATTCAGTGTGAACATGAGTCATCAACATACAACAGAGAACACGAAAACATCAGCACAATCAGATAACAACCCACATGCCATCAGAAGTACAAGTGAGATAAAATAACTATTTGGCACATTTGTTTGTCTCCAGTAGTGATGCAGCAAAGGTCTGCTGGATTCAAAACAGTGATGTTGCAGCTTAGGGCAAAAAATAAAAAATAATTATCTTTAAAAATCATTAATTTGTTCCAGAATTTTAGGATGTGACTGCCACAGAGTTGGAAGACACGCTGAAGTGCTGAGATGTCCTGATGTTTGTCCTCAGTCAGGATCGAGCTCCAAAAAGACTCAATCCTACATTTCCCATAATGCAACTCTGTTGTGTCTTTCATTTGACTCTTCCTGCTCTTGGTCTTCTGACCTCACACTCTGTTTGTAACACACACTCTACAATATTTTTAAAAACAAAAATGTAAGTGATAGTGTCACGAAATTGTCACACAAGAAAGTTGCTGCTCGTAACGAACGATTTGCGGTCGTGGCCTTTCAGCTGTGGGCGGGGTCAGTCACAGGAGGCCATCTAGCCAGATACACACACACACACACACACACACACACACACACACACGTGCATTGTGAAACTACAAACTGTCAGAGTGAAAGTAAAAAATTCGAATCCTGTCAACGACGAACACAAAAACATTCAACTGTCACTCTGCTGCATAACTGAACATTTACACTGGTGCTCTCTCCATCTGTCTCTGTCTGTCTCTGTCGCTGTCTGTCTCTGTCTGTCTCTGTCTCTGTCTGTCTCTGTCTCTGTCTGTCTCTGTCGCTGTCTGTCTCTATCTGTCTCTGTCTCTGTCTGTCTCTGTCGCTGTCTCTGTCTGTCTCTGTCTGTCTGTCTCTCTCTGTCTCTGTCTCTGTCTGTCTGTCTGTCTCTGTCTGTCTCTGTCTCTGTCTGTCTCTGTCTGTCAGTTCAGTTCAAGCTGCTTTATTGACATGACTGCATTTGAAAGCATATTAACACAATACAACACAAATATACCGAGCATAAACAATAACAATACATTAATAATAATTGCTCTCTCTGTCTCTGTCTCTGCGTCATTGTGTGTCTGTGTGCCTCTGTGTGTCTCTGCGTGTCTGTGTGTGTCTGTGTGTCTCTGCGTCATTGTGTGTCTCTGTCTCTGCGTCATTGTGTGTATGTGTGTCTCTGTGTGTCTCTGCGTGTCTGTGTGTGTCTCTGCGTGTCTGTGTGTGTCTCTGCGTGTCTGTGTGTGTCTCTGTGTGTCTTTGCGTCATTGTGTGTCTGTGTGCCTCTGTGTCTCTGCGTCATTGTGTCTGTGTGTGTCTGTGTGTGTCTCTGCGTCATTGTGTGTCTGTGTGTCTGTGTGTGTCTCTGCGTCATTGTGTGTCTGTGTGTCTGTGTGTGTCTCTGCGTCTTTGTGTGTCTGTGTGTGTCTGTGTGTCTCTGCGTCTCTGCGTCATTGTGTGTCTGTGTCTCTGCGTCATTGTGTGTCTGTGTGTGTCTGTGTCTCTGCGTCATTGTGTGTCTGTGTGTCTCTGCGTCATTGTGTGTCTGTGTGTCTGCGTCATTGTGTGTCTGTGTGTCTCTGTGTGTCTCTGTGTGTCTTTGTCTCTGTGTGTCTGTGTGTCTGCGTCATTGTGTGTCTTTGTGTGTCTGTGTGTCTCTGTGTGTCTCTGTGTGTCTCTGCGTCATTGTGTGTCTGTGTGTGTCTGTGTGTCTCTGTGTCTGTGTGTGTCTTTGTGTCTGTGTCTCTGTGTCTCTGTGTGTCTCTGCGTCATTGTGTGTCTGTGTGTGTCTTTGTGTCTGTGTGTGTCTGTGTGTCTCTGTGTGTCTGTGTGTGTCTTTGTGTCTGTGTCTCTGTGTGTCTCTGCGTCATTGTGTCATTGTGTCTCTGTGTGTCTCTGTGTGTCTGTGTGTGTCAGTCACCACAGCAGTGGTATTACTGTAGCGTGTGATGTGGTCTCTGTCTCACCTCATGTAACCTTCTCTTTCCTCTTTTCTCTCCACCTTTGCTCCCTCCATCTTCGTCTTTTTTATTTTACTTTTGTCTCCTCTTCCTCCTATTTTCCTCCATACACGCTCTCTCCTTTACTCATTTCCTTCCCTCTGCTGGTTTTTAACTTTTCCTCCTCTCCTCACTCCACCATTCATTCTTCTACCAGTCTTAGTTTTCTCCATCTCTCCCTCCTCTCCTTTTTGTTCTTACACCTTCTTCTCTCTCTCTACCTCTTTCTGTTCTGTCTTCTTCTTGTGTATTATCGTCTGTTCCTCCAGTCCTTTGTTTCTGCCATCTTTTGACAACTGTCGTTTCTTTTAATCCTGTCTTCCCTCCCATTTTCTTTTTTCAACTTTTTCTAATATAAATAAAAAACTGAATTCATATAATAATCTTTTACAATCCTTTTGTACTTTTTGTCCCTCAAAACAATGACTAATCGTGATCTCAGTATTGATCATGATAACTGTTTGGCCATAATCTGCTGCAGGCTGACGATTGTTAACTGACTCTCTCGCCCTGTCTGTGTCCACGCAGGTGAGCAGAAGCGTTACCAGGTGGTGATCCACGGGATCGAGCCGCTGCTGGAGACGCCTCTGCAGTGGCTCAGCGAACACCTCAGCCACCCCGACAACTTCCTGCACATCTGCGTTATCCCCGTCCCCACTGACTGAGGCCACGTCTGCCGTACCTCGCTGTCACCGTAACAACCAACCGACCAGCCGCCCCGCCAGCTGGCTGGATAACTCTGGAAACGGTAGCGCTAAACGGTGGAAACTCTGAACTAACAGACTCTTTAAGGAGATCTTACTGATGAACATGAACAAAGGATGTGAAGGAGGTACAAACTGACCTCCTCTTCCATCTTGTCTATTTATATTTCTACTCCTCCTTAAACTCCTCCTCCTCCTGCTTCCCCTCAGAAAACTTGTGTATCGGACGCGAGGATGAAACAACAGAAAAAAGACACTTGTTCAGGTGAAGAGGTCTTTGAATGAGCAGAGGATCGCTCCTTTTCTACTCTCCCATCTCCCTCAGTTTTCCATCCTGCCATGCATCTCCCGTCTTGTCTCGTCCAAGATAGAGACAGTCCTGTCAACAGGGAGACACGATTGTTTGGGATTTTGGGAGAAGCGTATTTGGTCCTGCTGAAGTTGCCTTAGTTACCACGTTCATTCATTTCCATCGCCGTCTGAGTCATCCCTGCAAAAACGTCTGGACGCACAGTCACTTTGAGTTTACATCACAAAGTGTTGTCATGTCCGAAAACTTTCCAGGAACGTCTGCTGGTTTGTTTCTGACTTTTTACAGAGGATTTTCTTTTCATCAAGTTTCTTGTTTTAACACTCGGCTTCATGTGACAAAGAGAGGACGAAGTGTGAGTCTCTCCGCTGATCCCAGAACACTCTGGGTCTACTTTGATCGTCTCATGAGATCTAATGTTTAAGTTAACAAGCAAACATCTGGTACTGATCCTGAATCAGCATTAAACTGCAGCTTTAACTGGAAAACAGTGAAACTCCACTTTTGTTTATTTTCATTTTTTATCTTAAATTCCATTTTCATACAACTTACTTTCATCGTTGAAATAATCCTGAATTACCTGCTAATGTTTACGTGCTCCTCTCCAGGTTACGCATTAACTAAAAATTGCATTACATTCTTTGTTATTGTTGTTTTCTTTGCAGACAGATGGAGATACAGGATTTTCACAGGGTATCTTTAAAGAGTGAACAAGCTATTTTTATGAGGCTGAAGCGTTTTGTGCGGGTCATTGGGGAAAAAAAACAAACTCCACACATGTTTTCAATAGCAGGTGTTGATTTCTCTCCATCAATACAACAGTTTAGCTGTTTTACTGTCTGTTTTTGTGAGGTTTGGCTCGACCTGCTTCGTCTGCAGCCAAACTTAAATGAGCATCTGGTTTTGTTTCATTTTAAGAACTCGGCTCAGATAATGAGACAGCAGGCACGATTAGCGTAAAGTCTGCAGGCTGTTGGGGGCTGCGGTCGCCTGATACGTCTTACATATGCTTACATTAGCACATTTTAGTTTGTGGACAGACAAAACTGGCACAAGCAAACATAACTTTTGCCAGAGCACTAACTTTAGTCGCCAGATCAGATCATTTTGTTGAATGTTGAGATCGTAATTAATCACTTTTTTTTGTAGAAACATTTGCATCATATCAGCATCTTGTCTTTTTTTACATCTGTTAATACTGAAATAAAATGACACATTCAACTGTTATCCAGAATGACTTCAAATAAAAGTGAGTTGAATTAAATAGTCAGTTGTCTAGTTATTAATTGATATGTACGAAAACACATTTTACAGTACGATGCTGAGAGATTTAGACACAGTCATGTTGTCAGAACTCTCCTACATCACTAAATATTTTGAGGTAAACTGACTTTACATTTGGAATCTGACTGCATCCATGAAGCCGTCAGCTCAGTCTCAGTTACCTTCACTTTCCAGCAAGGTGAGGATGAAAATGAAATTGAAAATTCATTCTTAGAGCGCAGCGTCATTTACGTTTTTCAGTACTGGTGATAATATGTTACCTGAGTTTCAGTAGCAATACCAGAACAATATCAACGCTCAAACATTGTTCTCTGAAGCATTTTGTTTAAAAGGTCCAAACAAACAAAAATCACTGCAGCGCTGTTTCTGTTCCTTCAGTCCAAAGAAGTTCAACTAAAAACTGCTGACAGTGACAAATGTGGATTAACGGAGACGCTGTCTCTGGAGAGAGACGTTGGAAACTGAGGAAATAAGGTTTTACTCTTTGTTATTGTAAATTCTTCATTAGGAATAACCTGTTGAGATGGACCATCTTTTACAATTTGCCTCAGAGTCTTTACAATATACGACATCACTCTGTCTTTGGACCCTCACAGTTGATCAGGAAAAACCCTGTAATGGGGAAAAAATATAAGCACAATTAGACAAAACATTAAACAAGAGTTGCAAGTTATGCAACCCACCACAGGTGATAAAATAGCAGCTGTTAGCAGTTAGCAGCTAACTCATAGAAGAATATCAGCAGCTGAAAATGTCCACAAATAGTGAAAACACTGAGGTCCAGGAGCTCCTTACCCTCCGAGCAGAGGACGAGATCAACCGTCATATAACAGGGACGCTAAATGATTGTTATTGACATGTGATGTCATTGTTGTTTATAAAGAACTGCTGACACGTATGTTATATGTCACACTAGAGGCCGACGCTGTTGTGTTAAACATCACAGCTCTTTTGCCTCTGCGATGTCATCATGTTGTCTGACATCACACACTGGAGCCACATGATGCTGCCATTGTTTGGTTCTGTGTAAAAATGCAAAGGAGGTGTAAAGATGGGACTTTGTAGCGGCTCTATAGCGCCATCTACACACATCAACACACACACACACACACACACACACACACACACACACACACCGTCCTGCTGCCTTAATATTTACCAAAGCACCAAAAGTCGATTAAGCTGCTGCTGAAAATAGTCCCCAGCAAGCACAACTTTTCCTCCAGTGTGTTTGAGGAAATCACTGAGCCTTTTTTAAAAAGTGAAACTGTAAAATTTACATCTTCAGTGGGAACCAAGGCGCTTCGGGCTGAGAGCCACAGACAGGAAGTCAGAACATATTTAGAGACAGACTAACACATCGTTGGTTTCTGCTTTTTCATGGGATCTAATGACTGTACCTAAAACTATTGAACAACACCAGCTTTGTCCTCTAAAGCAGGGGTTCCTACCTGGTGGGTCCCGGTCCAGAACTGGGTCCCAAGTTCAGTCTGAATGATCCACAAGTGACTCGCGAACATGTCAAGTTTGTAAAAACACACTTAAAGTAAATTTCTGGCACAGACTTTTGACTGTGAGGTGCTGTTCCCTGCTGTAGGGTGAGTGACTAACGAACTGCTCAGTGACAGAGACGGCAAACGAGCTCGACAACATGGCCAAACCCAAGTGTGACGCTGAACACATTCAAACAACTGTTTGGACCTTGAACTAATGACTGAGGAGAAATCTGGACCACTGCTGGGAAGAAGACCTCACCCTCAGTCTGTCACTGTGTACGCTGGACGTGCTCGTCTGCAGCTCAGCTGGTTGGTGAAAGTGTCTGGGATTTTTTGTTTTTTTTGGGGGGGTGTACAGGCAGACAAGACAAAGTCAGTTTCCTTCCCCTGTGGCGTTTTACCGTCTTTTCACTTTATCTATGTCATAAAGAACATCTCTCTCTTATGTGTTTTACTGCTGACACTCGCCCTCCTTCTCCCTCTTCATCTCTCCTGGTTAATTATCTGTTGGCATTCCACCCGCTGCTAATGAGACCACTAAACTGTGCTGTCAGACAGGCCTCAGGCGCTCTGTGTGTGTGTGTGTGTGTGTGTGTGTGTTTGCCTCTTTCGATGTGAGCAAGCTCGGTTTCGCGGAATTAAGCTGTACAGTGTGAGTGTGATGTGTGTGTGTGTGTGTGTGTGTACATAATTACAGACATCATTTATAGCCCCCTGCAGGTGTGTGTATATGAATTCCCTCACACACTCGTCTCTTGTCACACTGCCAGTCTGCTAATTCAAAGTGTGTGTGTGTGTCTGTGTGTGTCTGTGTGAGTGATGTCACACATCATGTCATCACATTAGGCTTCCTCACTGCTGATGCTGCCGCCAAGTATGATGGGATGGTGGGTTTATGGTGTTGAGTCAAGACCTGGGGCTCGGCGTGGGGTATAGTATGTGTTTGTTTGTGTGTGTGTGTGTGTGTGTGTGTGTGTGTGTGTGTGTGTTTGTATACACACTGCAGCCCTAGACGCAGTGATGAAGAGTCTGTCTCACTCTGTCATCTCGCTGATACACACTCTTTTATGGGATTTCCCGAGCTGCCGTCCGACCCCTGTACAGTACAACACAGAGCAGAGAGAGTGAGATGCTCAGTGAGGTGTTTGGATGAAATGAGTCGAAGGTAAATTGTTTGCAGGGATACGTTTTTTCTTTCTCTCTGAATGTCTGAGTGGAAAAGCTGACGTATATATCTGAGTTCATCATGCTGACCAGATTCTAACAGAAAAAAGTTTCTAAACAAGATTATTGGACAGTGTTTGAGAACAAACGTCCTTCTATCAGTCGCCAGAATAAATGTTGGTATTGTATGTTTCACATGTGGTGGATATTTTAAAACATTTCTGTTCGTTTCACACTCAAACACTCAACACACTCAATTTGTCACCACAAACACAGCTTTAAATGTCCCAGCCTCATGTTAAAGTAGGAGCTTTTGTTGTCACAAACATGGCTGGAAATGTCCTGAACCCTCGTTAAATAATAACTGCCTAAAAAAAGACCTACATTTGCCCCTGCATACATGGCTGGCAATGGCCCAACCTATTGTTAAAAAGTAGCAGACTTTGTCACTACAAACATGGCCGTACCCACTTTTGTTGTAACAGACACAACTTGAAATTTCCCTAACTCTGGTTAAAAAGTAGCAGCTTTTTAGGCGACAAACGCGTCTGGAAATGTCCCGAACTTCCATTAAAAAATACTCAATTTCTCACCACAAACATGGCTTTAAATGTCCCAGCCTCATGTTAAAGTAGGAGCTTTTGTTGTCACAAACATGGCTGGAAATGTCTGGAACGCTTGTTACTACAACACCCACCTTTGTCACTAAAAACACATCTGGAAATGTCCCAAACTCTCATAAAAAAAGACCTACATTTGCCCCTGCATACATGGCTGGCAATGGCCCAACCTATTGTTAAAAAGTAGCAGACTTTGTCACTACAAACATGGCTGGAAATGTCCTGAACCCTCGTTAAATAATAACTGCCTTTGTTGTAACAAACACTCCCGGAAAAATCCTGATCGCTTGTGACTACAACACCCACCTTTATCACTAAAAACACGTGTGGAAATGTCCCAAAGTGTGGTTAAAAAATACCCACCTCTGTTGGTCTCAAACTTTGGTCTGCTGCCTGGCAGCTACATCACCGAGATGTTACACCATCATCCCCTCCTCCTCCTCCTGATGTGAAACTCAGCTCAGACACGTCTCTGAACTATGTAATTCTTATGAAACGTATAAATGTAACATATCTGCGGTTTACAGAAACCCACAGTGCCAACGTTTTATTCTGCTGACTGAGCTGCATCTTCACTTCTTAGTAAGTCAGTGGTTTCCAGGCAGGAGGTCAGTCTGCTCCCTCAGACCTTTTATTCAGAGTTTCACTGAGAGCTACACTCTCACTTATTTTCCCATGAATACTCTGCTCACCATCACAGTTACACTCACTCACACCTGGAGGCTGCCCAGTACAACCACAATGTGACCTGCTGGAAACTGAGCAGGGAGAGGGACAGCCCCCCGCCCAGGTCGACTCCAGTGATCTTCCACTCCTGCTTCTCTAAACTTTAGTTTATTGATGAATTTCAGACCTTAAAATATATTTTATGATTCAGCTGGCTGTCGTTAGTGATGCAGTCTGACATGAACTCAGTAGTTTCCCTCAGAGTTTAAACAGTATTTCTGTCTCTCACTGTTTCTCCACTCGCTGGTTTGAAGTGGGCGGGAGGAAAAAAATGATGTCATATATTTCTGTCCACCAATGAGGGCGGCGTTTGATTTGAACACGATGACCGATGAGGGATTGTTTGCTCATGTTGCACGGTCACACCACACCCACACCATCCTGATGAAACACGAGCCAATGGTTTTCTTATTTTGTCACTAATGTTTAATGTTACAGTGGGTTTCCTGTCACCACTGCCCAGTTTAATTTTCTCTGAGTGATTTCATGTGTTAAATGTATTAAAATGACATGAAAAGATCCAAACTGTAACTTCATTGTGATGAACACAGCGACTGTAGTTCACTCTGACAGCAGTTTCTTCCTCTGTGTCTCTGTATCATGTTGCTTTGCTAATGCAACATGTCAGGAGAGAACAAGATGAAGGAATAAAGGAATATATCAACCCAGCAGTGAGGCTTTTATGTGTAATAAGAGTTCCTGGAGTTCTCCATCACAGCGGCACAGCGGTGTCCGACTGCAGAAACACACAGAAGTTGTTAACAGCATAAATTTATTGTTGGCAGTAATAAAAAGATAAAATAAAAGCTTGAACATGTCAGTGAGGCCGTAACAACAGCGGGGACAGTTGCTGAGTTTGTGTCAGAATGTAATTAGTATCAGGAAGGTTTGTTTGTGTCGCCATACCAACTGCAAACACTCTGCTGTTTGTTCCAATAACAGACAAAACTTTACCGGACAACTGATTTCCTGCA